GCGCTTATCTCGCGATAAAAGTGGTTCACGAGGAAGGCGATCACAGTCGCCTGGCATCAAAGAGAAAAATTAGTCCTCCTATAAGTGCTTCTTTAATCGCGGCATTTCCCTTTGACAGTAAACCAACCACTACCATCGGCTCTGTCAAGAAGCTTCTGCGGCATTTGCCGACGGACTGGCAGCCGGCCACTCGACCAATTACTTTCACCGATATCTGCCATGAGAGGCCGAAAAAAAAAACGGAAGAGTATGGATTATCGACTGTAGAGGAATGTCGGGAAAAGGGCGTAGGAATTTTTCGGGGAACTGCAACAATTCTTTCTCAGCCAACAATCATTTCGGTAAACGAAACAAAGGCATTCTTTACGTACATTTATCATTTACACTATTTAAGTTTGATTCTCGCCTTATGATTAAATTTAAATATATGCTTGGTAGAAAATAATTTTAGATTCAGATTTATGCCGAACAGGCAAAAAATACAATTACAATTAGATATTTGTTAGATATTGCGGTAATATGTCGCAAATTTTCTTCGTATCTCTATTTCGTGAATTCCTTTTTTATGAAACTAGAAATGCGCGCTTGGCGCGCGCAGTTTATAGTTGGCAACATTGTAAATTTAAAAAAATTTTTATACATGCGAAGAAGTAATTGTATGCGCAACGTCAATTTAAAATAAATCGTAATTTATCACTCACTGATACGGTTCGCAACAGCAGAGTTGTACATCGCTAACTATATATGTCAAACTGTAACAAAAAAAATTTAATATGATTATTATAGAGTAATTCTGTTAATGTAAAATCGAAATTATTGTATTAAATGTACTTTATATTTTATATTTTTAAAAATAGGCATTTATTAAAATAATTATATAGAATACTGAAAGTCTTCTTTTTGATTATAAACTCACAAAATTTTATACGTATGGTTTTGTCTCTAACACTTATTCGAATCGTCGTTCGAATTATTTGAATAAATCAAATAAAAACACAGAACAGATGTTTTATTTTGCACAAGTAGCAAGTAATATCAAAATGTAACACACTTACCTCACCAATTCTCCGCCGTTGCCTGATACCCCCTGGGCCTCCTCCTCCTCTCAGATATCCTTGTTGCACTAACACAACACTCACTCGCGAAAATCATCGATCGCGCGAAATTTCGGACACTCCCGTACGCGACGTGAAATACCGCGAAACGCACGAAATATTATTAACAAATATCGCGCAACTTTCTGTCATACAAATTATTCAAACATTTTTTATTTGAAAGTGGGGATAAATCACTTTTGAATTGACGATATAAAATACGTAACGCGAGCATCGAAAGCATAATCTGCGGTAAAGAAGTAGTTATCAGTCCGCAACAAAACGATATTTTAAAATCTTTGTCATTCAATCTAATCCTCGAAGTGAATTATGTGAACGAAACCTCCAGCGATAAATAGTTGTTATTAATTGCAATAGTTAATCGAGATCATTTTCCATTACATTTACATAATGTAACGACGCGCGATAAGCAACTTTCTCTACTTCCTGCGTGTTCGAGTTGCGAAAAACGACAGAGCGAATTACAGCACGAACGCCGAAGTCGTACAAATTTCTCTCTTTTCCCGAAAATGGAATAGAATACATGAAATCGATAGATAATTAAAAGCGCGGTGCGTATACGAGATGTAACCGCGACAAAGTACCACGGTTTACGTTCATATTTTAGATGAGTTAGTCTCGTGAAATATCTAGGTATACGTTGATAAAGATCCGTCACCTCGATATACAATTCGTTTCTCTTTGCAAGTTGTAGAAACTTAATAATTAACCGAGGATCGTTACTTGTTACTGATTAAGGTGTACAAATCAATAGCGTTTTATCCCAACATTCATCGCGATCGAGTCTTGGAAACCGATAACGCAAAAGTAATAACATGTACGGAACGACTCTCGCTACTACCTGCCGGCTCGACGTTCGGCGAGCGAATGATAGCGCGCGACCTTCAGGTACACGATGGCACGCAAAAACATTGTACGTCACCGCGCCGAGAGAAAAACAACTACGAACGTTGAGAATTCGGTGTCTTTTTTTGTTCCGTGACTGTTACTACGTTTTGTGTATCATTCTGCGGACTTATCGGTACTGATTAAATTAACGATTAATTCTGTTCAATCGAGCAAATGTATCGGAACAAAAATCGTTGTTATCTTAGTAAGATACCTCAATAGTTGGTGTATACAAATGTATATTGCTAAATTGCAAATCTTCATTTACTATGAATCTGAAAGAGAAGTAAAGCACACCGCGCTTCGAGAAAACCAATTGGCATCGCAGAAATGAGACCCCCAACTATTCGATATTAAACGACATTCGCGCTGTTAACATCTCTTTTTTAGAAAGGGAACTATGAATCTGAGAAGACAACTTTCTAGATTGACAACAATTTCATGGAAATCTTTTAGATTAATCGATATTTGTTTCGTTAAAATTTGCCGTTTAATAAGCAAAGCTTGACAAATTTAATTTACGGCTAGATAACAGGAAATAATTATGTGACCACTACACATTGGCGTCTGGTTTCTCTCGGAAATAAAACCAGACAGGCTTGCTCTTATCACTGATAATGTATATTCACTTTTTTAACCGTTCGCTATAAATTCATTCGATCCTGTATGTATTGTATCGAATAATTACACGCGAAAACATATACTATTTCTCATAATTTTTCCAAAATAAAAATGTACTTTGGACAAACCAAACGAAACCAGAATGAACAAAAAAATGACATAAAAAAACGAAAGCTGCCACTCCGTGGTCAGCAAACACCATGACTATAAGTTTCCCGTCTCAATTAAAAATGTATATTGCAGTGCCCATTAATCCGTTTTGCAGAAATATGAAGAAATCAAATATTTCTAAAAATTCATTCGTTCTCTCTATAGCTATATATGACTGTACGCACAATACATTTAGAATTATAAAATAAAATATTATTAGCATTTGTTTTCATATAAATATTTAATCTTGTACACTAGAAATCACTGATGCCTTCCCACATGAATTTGTGCACATATCAACGCATTTATACATTTTGCATATAAATACATGAAAAATGTGTATGTGTTCTACCTGTGCCTAAATTCATATGAGAAGGCATCGGTGATTCCTAGTGTAAAAATGAAACTCAATGAAAACTTTGTACTAGATAGCACGTATCTTGATGTATTTTAATAAAAAATTTTCAGAAAATTGAGTATTAACATCTTTTCTTTGTTGTCATTATAAGGTGAAAATTAAATATTTTTTAATATATTCATAAAATGTCGAGATATTTTTATCGAATTGCTTGTCATATGCGCAAAAATGCGAATCATTTAGAAACAAGAGAATTGATTAATTTGTCGCAATCTGTCGTACAAATTGTCTTATTGTTAAAAAGTGGAATGAGAAGGGAACAGGTGTCGACTTATTTATGCGAACAGGTTGCAAAAGGGGTGATAGTCCCGCGAGACCTCGTCGCACTATCGTTTTTCCGAGGAAGTCCCTTTGACTTCGGCATCGGATGTTTCCGGTTGTTTCGTTTTTAACTCGACAAAACGAAGGGAAGTTTTTTGTCCTCGGGAGGACGATACACACACCGGCGGTTATTATGTGCTCGTTCGTACGTTTCATCATCTAAGGAAGGGAGCGTGTCATCGTAAAAGTAGATTTCCCGGGAAAAAAGGGAAAAAATCTCATTATACGTCTCAATCATGTAATATCTAATTATATCTCATAAGATCCAATTCTAAAAATCATCAGGTCCTCAGAGATTTGACACTTTCCTTGAATGTTCGACGTTATCTATTCAGATCTAACTAAATCTATAATTAAATTATGAGGTTTGAGATTGGACCAATCTGGGTAAAGTTTACTTATCCCAAGTTTAGCGATTTTCACTCTGATTGGTCAAATTTCAATCTAATCTCAATCTCAATCCGTAGTCTGATACGGGCTTAAGAGAACATAATTAGATCTCAATAGATAATAACATATATTGAATATTCAATAAAAGTGTCAGATCTCTGAAGATCTGATAATTTTAGAATTGGATATATTAGATATTACACGATTGAGACATACACAATGAGACACTTCCATTTTTCCCGGGGTCATGTCTTTTTCTTTTTGCGTATTACACGCTGGTTCGACGCAATTATTAAATGGCATTTAACGTCTGTCGAAATTTAAATACCAACGGAAACGAGGCCAAAAGCATTGACCGGATGTTTTTAAAATAAAGATAAAAAAGAGCTAACGTTTTTTTTCTTCAAAAAGGGATTGGAAAATTTGAAGTTTTATATTCTACTATTCTATAAAAATACAGAATGAATTACGCGCGTGGAGTTTTCACGGAGATTAACCACTGATAAGAAACGGCGAAAAGATATCGACTAATCCCAAAGAAATTAATTAAAATGAAGGAAAGCAACTTAGAGGTACGATCGAGTCTCTTTCGGAGGACGTTTAATCGTGAAAACACTTAACTCATGAGATCTCCACACTATCAAGTGTAAAGGATGCCTGATAATATTTTCCCTCCCGAGCAAATCTACGAAAGATGAAATTTTTCCGTCCCTCTCCCTTCGCACTGGCCGCTGTATCCTCGTCTAATTTGCGTCGCAGTCCCTGGCGCTGTATCGCGCCGATATCTCGCGACTAATATTATTACACCATGAAGAACCGGAGCACTCGCTCTGGCCGATTGGCAAAAAGAACGAGCACAACGGCGATGGCGATACGTCCGCGGATCGTGTTCGCAGCCGCGGCGGGAGGACGCCTCCGCCGAGGGACGTCATACCCTAAATCATACCCCACTTCGCCGTCCGTCGACGGCGAGCTCCCTCAATTTACTAATTGAATCCCGGGTCCCTCTCCGGGGCGTAGACCACACCGAGCTCCGCCCGTTTTGACGGGGTCGGATCACGACAGGTCTCTGGCGGGTACAACCCACCCGTACTCGCGTGGCTGCTACCACCGACGACGAAGCTGGGAACCGGGGACTGCGTCGCAACCGCGCAAGGGGGGCAGCAGATCGGTACCGCACCGAACTCCGCTTTCTCAGTGTCCCTTCGACCACACATCCGAAACTGCATACGCGTACTTCGGACAGCGGGACCGGGAGCGCAAATATAGCCGATCTCAGCCTACGTCGGGTGACAGCCGGCGCCGAGAGCTCGCGCACGCGACATTCGGACGCAAATTGTAGAAGAAACGCCCTCCGCGAGCGGAAAACGGAAAAGAGTAGTCCATCGAAAATAATGAGACACGCGTATCGGCGATAACTCCCGTGGGGCGAGATCCAAGTGGACGGTACCAGTCGTCGAAAAAAAATTAGCCTACGCAAATAATACGAGACAATCGGATCGGCGATAAATTTCATCTCGTTCAGACAAAGTCCGAGTGCGAGTCACGGAGGTTTTCGGATGCTTGAGACGTGTAACGAGATATAATGAACGGAAATAATAAAATATAATAATTAGGCGGCAACGTTTTCCTTTGGCGAAAGCCTTTTCACGCATATATAAGAAGGCGTAACGGTATAATAAAATATAATAATTGATCGGCAACGAGTTTAAGTTGAGGATTCGAGGTGAACGTTTTGTGAAGTTGGTACCAATTGTGACGAATTAAAGGAGCCTGACGGTGATAAGATATCGGGCAACATGCTTGGCGGATACGAGGCGCAACCCGAGTATTATCCGCAGTGGCATCAGCCGTATAATTATGTCACTCAACTTCCCTACGGTGAGTGCACGAGCTCAATTACTCCTAAAACTAGTTTTTGATTGTCGAAGCGAAGCGCGTTCTCCTTCAATTTTTTTTTCAGGACTACCCGGGAAAAAAATAAAAATATCTCATTATATATGTCTCAATCGTGTAATATCTAATTATATCCAATTCTAACATCGTCAGATCTTCAGAGAGCTGACACTTTTCTTGAATATTCAATGTTGTTATCTATTGTCATCTAATTATGTTCTCTTAGGACATTTAATTATAGATTTAGGTAGATCTCAATAAAGAAAGTGTCAAATTTCTGTGGAGTGTGATTATCCCGGCTGAGCCCCCAAAAGTTGTAGACTTTCACTCTCAGCGAGGGAAACAGTCAATTGATTCACACATCACACTTCATAGTATTAACTATATTTCTGAGGGTCCGATGATTTTTAATATTGGATCTCATGAGATATAATTAGCTATTACATGATTGAGACATATATAATGAGATTTTTGTCCATTTTTCCCGGGTAACGAGCAGTAATCTCAAGCTTAAGCACGACTTCTAAAGTAGAAACGTTTTAATGGGTCTAAAATCTATTATTTTTATCTCTCCATAAAAAAATTTACATGTAAGTGTATTTCCACTACACAAGGAACCGTGTTTCACAGAAATCCTCCAGATTACGGAAATTTTTATTAATTTTGCGCGCAAGCTGAATTCGAGATATGCTTCGGATCTGCTGTAACATGTCGATCTTTTTAGTCGTATTATTTTGCGCAGTGTATCGCATCGTGGATCGTATCCTATTTCAATATACAAATAATAACACGACTAATAATATATCAACCATTTCCGTAATCCACAAGTGGAAAAATTCCGTGAAGGTAGAACTCGCTTTTCCGGTTTGCACGGGAAGGTTGTCGTCATTTTTGCTTTTCGTATCACTAATTTGCTATTAATTCATGTTCGAGCAACACTATCATTGAGGCCGATCGAAAGAAGCGATGAATCAAACAGCATAAAGCATTTAATGAAAGATTGATTAATTACAAAATGCAAAAAGTTTAAGAATAAACATTGGATAAGACTTTTTAATGCGAACGATGTATTTTTTGCTTTAAACATCTTATGAACATGATTAATTTGTCAGTTCAACATCTAACGGGATGTTTTACTGCAAATCGGGAATATTTTCTCTTCGAAAAGTCACTTTCTTACTCATATTAATGGAAAACATTACAAGAAACATATGTTAGATATACTATTATTGTGGTAAGCAATTACGCTTTAAATTAATTACGCACGCGGCAATACTCGTATCATTTCTCTTCACAAAGCAAATACGAAAATCCAACAAATGCAAAATCTCAACGAATTTAATTTGAACTCTATATATGTGTATTAGTTATCTAAAAAAATGTCATAGAGTATAATAATTTTACTAAATTTTTTAACATAAAACTTATGTTAAAAGCGGACTAGAGATCCCGTGTCGTTTTTTAATGTCCCCATTCGTTTATATTCCTATCAAACGCCTCTAAGAATCATAATAACGTCGAGTCGCGAAATACGTGGGCTGTTATGTCGCAACCTCCGCGAAGGAGAGTTTCCTATAAAAAGAATTATATTCGCGTGTAATTACACACGGTTTTTTCACGACAATCATTTAGCAATGAATTTCATCGGTGGATCTCACAAAAAATGCGGCATGCATCTGATTTTTGCGCAGGGTCCCTCGGCTCGGTTCCCGATGCCGACAGTCAGTCCACGTATTGGGGAGGCGCGGATTCCGGTATTTCGGGGGGTAGCTCGGGGGCCGGCAGCCCCACCGCGTCGACGCCACCCCTTATCGAGGAGATCGGGGTCCAGGAGCCGAGTTACTCGCCTCTGCAACAGTACGTGCACCCCTCGGCCGGCCAGCATTACGCCACCCTGTCGTACCCCCAGGCCCAACAGGAAACGTCACCGCACCATCACCACCATCATCCGCATCATCACCACCATCAACCTGGTCACCGACGCGAGCACGAGTTTGCGAGCGCCCAGATTGGCCAACAGATCGTCGGCGGCACCCTTCAGCAACATCTCCAGGGCGTTCGCGAGGGTGGCGTGACGGTCAGGCCGAAGAGACGGAACACCGCGAACAAAAAGGAAAGGAGGAGGACGCAAAGCATTAATAATGCCTTTTCTGATTTGAGAGAATGCATTCCTAACGTGCCCTCGGATACAAAATTGTCAAAGATCAAGACCTTAAGGCTAGCCGCGTCCTACATCGGGTATCTTATGGCGGTGTTGGAAAGCGACGAGGGAGAGGAACCGCAGACCTTCCGCGCGGAGATTCTCTCGAACGGCAGGAGGAATAAAGCGACTCAACCTAATCAAGTAAATAACTTAATCATTACTACTTACGTAGCGGTGAAAGAATTGGAGGAGACTAATGCGAGAGCAAAGAGATAGAAAATGTGAGCGGGAGAAAGAATGTGTTTTTTGCGTTTTCAAGAAATGTCACGTAAATTAGTGAGTTATCTTTCAATAACAGTCGCCCACGTTAATCGACAATTTTCTATCTAAGCGTGTAAAACGCAAATTTTTACAGCAATGATAAGACAATAGTAACTCAACAAGTTTTGTTAGAAATATATGCCAACGAGATAGCGCCTATGGTTTCTGCTTATCTAGCTTTTGTGCTTTTCTTTATTCATTTTCGTATTCGTGAGAGTTTTCATCCTTCCGAAAAGTCTTAAAGAATTTCGAGAGCTACTCGAGGCCGCGTGCGGCGGCTTTCGGCCGTGGGTTCAAAAGTTCTTCAGGATGAATTATTCCGTCTCCTGTAGACGGAGTTTCTTAAATCTTTCAAAACGCTTTTGTAAGCGTTGCTCCAACGTAAACATTCGCCTCTATAATTACGTTCACGTCGGCCTGAGAACTCGATCTTTTAAAGCCGTTGTACTGCCTCGAGATTTATTAAAAATATGTGTAATGTGTAAAACCTGATGGATCAAAGATCGTAGAAAAATTTTCCATTTGCTTGACTGAAGTTTAATTAACAAGGCATAATAAGAAACTGTTCAATCTAATTCAATTATAAAGATGCTGTAATGATGATTTTATTTAACGAGTATAATTGATTGTAATTATTTACTACTTTTATTACTTTATTTAAAAAATTCATTGCATGGAACATAAAAGAGTTACACAGGCACAGCTTTGTTCCAATAATGGATCGCTGAGTTTCAATCGAGAGGTCATTGCCTTTAGAGGACTTGATAGAAGGTAGTATTACAAGGAAACAAAGGGAATTCTATTCGATTTTCCGCTCAATCGTCTACTAATTCTGAACTTTGGAAACAATTTGCTTTCCTCGAACCCTGTATTTTGTGGCTTTCTTCACTTTCTGCGATCGTTTACCGCCCACGTGGAAATTTCTCTCTTCGATAAAGATCACTACAATTCTCACTCGTGGTAGATAATCAATGCCCTTCGTCTCTTAGATCAATTTGCTTAATAATTGAAGTTCCCCCTCCATACCTGATCTTACGTCTAACATTAAATTAAAGACGAAATGAAAAGAAGCATTTTAAATTGTAGAGTTGACAGTTTTATTAGCTATAGAGATAGGATTAACTTTTGATGAGGACATGTGTCATCGGGTATTTTTGTTTCTTCGCAGAATGAGTCGTGTTTGCAATCTGCCTCAAATCTCGGCCACGAAGAACCGACGAAGAGCAAAGGACGGACCGGTTGGCCGCAGCACATGTGGGCCCTCGAATTGAAGCAAGAATCACCGACCAGCCAGATGCAATAAAATATACCGGAGACACCACTGTCAAAACATATCCGCGATATTTCACGAAATATCGCTCGAAACGATCGTTCCTTTTTGCGCCTGACATTATTTTTTACGTCGGGAAGAAAGTGCGGCCCCCGCGATTTAGCGGCTTTCAAACTTTTTCAAATGCTCGGAAGAAGTGTGAGAAATTCAAAATTATTGAGAAATAATATAACTTTGTTGATAAAAATAATGTTTTATTAAAAAATCCCAAACTTTGAGAAAAATCCCGAAAACTCGCGATCGGGAAAAAGATATAATTACTCGGTGTAAAAAGGGTGGATTATTTTGTATATAGTACGCGTTCATGATTATTGTATATATACGTAGAATTTTGTTCCTTGTGTAGCAATCGGTGTTCATACTTTGAGCCAAAGAATATTATTTTACCGATGAGACTCTTTTTCGTTTAAGTTAATAGTAACGCGATTAAGTTATAATAAAGATCACGATTTTGGGTTGAACACGTGTCGTTGATTAGAATTAAGAACCTTTGTAAAGTTTTGTATAAAGTATCGTTATAGAAATGTATAAAATGTCGCAAGCAATAAACAAAGTACCATAAAATGTAACATCTTACTTTTTACCTCTCTAATAAATTATTTTCGTAAATAATGAATCTATAAATTTCTCATCCAATTTTTATAGAAAATAGAACTTTACGACTCTACGTAAATTACATGTGTGTGTGTGTAAAAAAGATAATTATATTTCATTAAAATCAAAGTAACTGTTAAGCTAATAGTAAAATTATTGAATTGTTATATACTATAAAATAAAACATTGGTGTGCTATAAAAGTATAACAAGAGTAAACATAAGCACAAAAAGTACGTTGCGCGCACATATTTTTACATTTTAATCGATAAAGATGCTCAAATCAAAACTCGGAAGAATACAAAAATATTCTTTCACATTTTTATATTGTGTTTTCTAGCAACATGAAAACGAATCAGTTTATTCAAAGTAACTTGTGGCATTGTTTTCGCATTCGCGTCATTTTGTACGTTTAGTTTACGTATATATAACTCACACTTCCCACAAGAGGAGAAACCGTGAGAAGTTCTCCTTCTTCTCCTTCTTTTCCTTCTACTCAGCTTGCCCATTATAGACGGAGAACTCATTGTGCAGAGCGGTTTCGAATTTCGTGGCTACTCTGGCGCCAGTACTTGGTCCCATGTAACGTATCTGATACTTTACATGTAGCCAATATATCCCGAGGAGGAAATATTAGTGTCTATTTGTCCCAGCACGACAGTAGACAGCATCTCTGATGCTGCCCTCTGCTTATATAATTAACTTCGCTCGTTTATCAATCTTCAGATTTGTACCCGTTTGCATTCGTTACTCCGCGTCATATAAAAAATGTTTTCAGACTACGAACTGTAAGAAAACTACTCTAGGCGTATTATATCTTATATTTTGTAGGAAGGGAATTCCTCGCGGGCGTTAAAATCAAAATTTACGAATTAGTTTCTTGAAATGTAACTTAATTTCTTAAGTTAAGTCGAAGTTAAACTTAAAAATTTAAATCGTCAAACAGATCATAGAAATCTTTCTTCATCATTCAAGGTACATTCCTTATATCTCTGTTTAATTACTTAAAATATTTAACTAATTGATTATTTAGGGAATCAGACGCTTTTCATACTTGAAAAGGACCGAAATTCTCGGTCAAAACGTCGTGTAATTCCTTTAATGAAGTATTGCCAGATATGTCGAATAATTTGGCCCATTACGTTTTATTTCAATTAATCACTGGCGAAGAAAAGGCTCTCAATATTATTTGATTATTATCGACTGCTATCGCAAAAATTTCGAGACTGCCAATTTACGATTACCCTATCAGTCAACTTCAATTGTTCAACTGGCGTAATTAAGTCTTAGTTTTTGCTACCAGGAACTTTGACTCTACTGAGACTAAATATTTGTGCGATTGTCCTCGATGGCACCGGTCCATCAATGTCCATTGTATCTAAACAACGATTCGATGTGCCAGTCGAAGACGACATTGTCGGTTTTGTGTATTGTACGCGAGTGATCGCGAAGCCCGGGATCGATATGTATTACCGAGGCGATTGACGAGCCGTTTGTTTATCGCAACGAGTGGCACTATATTATATACGAGCGTGCACGTCCGCGGGACTTCGAGAATGTTAATAGTTGAGCCTCGCTGTTGCCTCGCCGTAAACATTTCAGCCAGCTCCTCCGACGCTAACGAAGCCGCGTATTTTGTTATTCGATCCTACAATTCATTCGTCCACGTCCGACTAATTAAACCGCGATGCTCTAAGTGACAAGTTGGTCGCGACCATCGGCAGCGTAACACTATCTATTATATATTCTGCACTATCACACGGTCGCGTTGTATCGATCAGACTGTATCACGCATTTTATCACGGTTTATCACAGTTTATTACGTTTCTTTGATCCTATGTTACTCGCGTCGTTCTTCTTAACATAATTACTGAGTTGACTCACAAATAATGCGGCACCCTTACGGAAGAGCGAAGAAATAATTACTAAAAAATTACTGTACATCAGTAATTTCTAATGATTCAATTACTGATGTACAATAATTTTCAGGGTATGGAAGTAACGCGTTACTTGTAACGCCGTTACTGTTACAAGTTACTTTTTATATTTCGAACCCAGTTATAAAATATAACTATATTTTCTTACATTCAATCTTCAGGCATCGATCGATATTCATAATCTATTATTATCATGGGTTGTTATAATTAAGGTAAGTTTAAAATTATTCCATTAAAATTCTGAACGAAATCAAAACTTTTATTTACATTTTGGGCGTTTTAAAATTTATCTCCGTAAATTTTCCATGGTTTTACAAGCTTAAAATAAAAAATTGTTTTATTAATATCTTTGTTAGTAAAAACTATTGCAAAAGTAGATGTTTTAGGAAGATTGCTTATGGTCACCAGTAATGAATAAATTCTAACAGGGACTTATGGTCAACCCAACTGGCTAGTAGCTTTATTTAAGTAGATACAATTGTATCTACTTAATAAGATGTTTTAGTTTGCCTGATCTCGTTTCAGAATTAAAAAGGTAACGAATCGTTATTTTTTAAGTAAGCGATAACGAGTTACTTTTAAAAAGTAACTTCCTATCCCTGCTAGTTTTCTAGTAATTATTTCATTACTTTTTCGCGTAAGGGTACAAAAGAACTTGATTTATTGTTTAGCTCAAAACCGTAAGACTTTTGCCAGGAATTAAAAATTTTAAATTAAAATGGGAAGAATTAAATAGTAATGGAAAATATACTTTGGATTAAAATTAAAACGTCAAAGTTTTTGTTACAAAAATATCTCTGAAAAGCTGTATTATCTATGGGGTAACCCATTACTCCCGTAGGGTGTATTTTATACCCCAATTATATTGCAATGTTATCTTTGATGATTTACAATAAAATATGCGGATTTCTGTAGAAAGGGCAGTCTGTTGTAAGAAAATAGCAGAGTATTCCGAGTATCTGTCTCTCATACGTTCGGTATGCTAGAATGTTAACCCTTCGCTCTCTGGTGTCGGCGTTCCTTGTCAAGCATTCTATCTCGAAGACAATTCTCTGTGTGCTCGATTTTGCAGCGAGAATTGTCTGTGAGTCTACTACTGCTATATCATTGCACGATTTCGCAGCAACGAACATAAATTTGTCGCTAAATATAATAACTGTACTTCAGATTAAAATGTTAGCAAAGTAAAGCCCGCTAAAATTGAAGCAAAGGGAGCAATTTTGCTGTTTAATTATTACTTGACACACACGGCGAGAGTTTTACTCACAAAAAAGCCGCAATTTTAACTATTCATAAAAATATTGGTATTCAAATGGAAAAAAAATGGAAATTGTCTTCAAAACTAGGTGAATTTTACATAAAAATTAGTGCATTGAATTGCCCAAAGGCATTAAGAATTATTTAATTTTAAGTGGCAGACCGATTAATGAAATATTTGCACGAACTGCAATTTTGATTGTAATGCAATAGGTGCTTGGAAATTGGCTTGTACACGTCGCGAAAATTCGTTTTCACGTGCGAGGAAACGGCGTCTCCTCTTCTGGCTACCGAGAATAACCAAGTTCTTACGGTATCATGGGAGTGTTTATCTATATATATATGTTTCTCTCTCTCTCTCTCTCTCTCTCTCTCTCTCTCTCTCGCTCGCTCGCTCTCGCTCGCTCTTTCCCTTCATGCACCGTCGACCGCGAGGTGTTCTGGGCTTCGTCAGGGCAAGAGTTTACAAAGCATTACCGATTCACCTACCCCGCCCTCTTTCACACCTACAGTACCGGCCAAAATTATATCACCTTTCGATTTTTTTGAGCGTAACTATTGTTTAAAGTGCACAAATAAAAAATTCGAAAATCATGACGTATTTTGTTCAAATTTTGTTACCCCGTACAAGATGCACCTGTTATCAGGTGTCTACTGTAAAATTTTGAGCACATTTGATGCACTTTGACGAAAGTTATACTAAAAAAAATCAAAAGGTGATAGCATTTTAGCCGGTACTGTACCGCGACATAGCGCGTGCTCACTCTCGGTTTTCTCTGTTCGCAAAAAACCGAACAAAATCGCATTTTAGTTCTTCTAAAAAATATTGCCGTTAATGATTATACAAAATCTTAAAAAATGATAACCGTTTAAAAAAATCGTAATAAATGACACCTTTAAAATATATTACGATTATTGTATTTAACGTTGCACTAAGAAGCATTCATAAAACGTATATGTTTTAACTAAATATGATAAGATGGGGGGAATAGTCGGAAGACAGGTCAATGAGTATTCGAAGGACCCTGCACGCTTCTTACACGGAGAGACTTTTCTCTGAAAATTTATCCTGAAAAACATGTGATCGTAGGACAACACGGCATTTCAAAGAATTTTATGAGAGTGTTTAAAAATTTTACCATACATTTTGCGAGTAATTATACCTAGTATACATTTTACTAGTAAAGTGTACAGTAAAATTTCGGAAAAGTCCCGTAAAGTTTTTCAAAACGCCACCCTGTCCCACGATTTTCAGGATAAATTTTATTAGAACATTCTCTCCGCGTATAGATAAGCGGTGATTAAATTGCGCTGTTCTGAAATATGTTGCAGCTTTTATCATTCTAAACAAATAAAAATTGCAACATATAATATTTCAGAACGGAACAATATTATATGACTGGGGGTCACTGTTCCATAAGAGTCGTGCGGGGTCCTTTGGTTTGTGAAAAAGAATAGCGCTAATCTTCGCCGATCTAAGCGTTTTCACAAATGACTGATCGCCAGTTCAAAGTAACGATGTCTAACTAAGATAACAAAGACAGGAGCAAAATAAACATCTCTGAGCATCCTGGAACATCGCGCGGTAAGCAGATGTGAAACATACCCGGTAGTAGATTAGAGATTTATCTCACTTATTTCGGGCAGGTCGACTTATCACCCCCCATAATCGTCCAGGTCCACTTTAGGAGAACAATGAGTAATTGAGTTAACGCCTCCCGATTGTTCCCAATAATGATAATTGGACGAATTCGTTTATTTTGATATCCTAACAGAACACTTTCCCCGCCAAACATGGAGAGTGTATAAAATGCATTCGTAACATTTATTCTTAAATCTCTCTCTCTCTCACACATGGAATTACTCATTAAATCACTCCAATCAGTTTTGGTAATCGAATTCAATCTTCGTTACCGAAATCGTGAATGATCTTCGCGATACGAGCGAGGAGAACGACGTCGAGATATCGTCACGTGGGAAGATTTTCGTGGCGCGCATTCGACTGGGCAGATGCAAGTGCTCTTACATCGTATGTCTACCAAATATCGCATCGCTATAAAAAAGCATGAAGCGGGCGTTTGTTTGCTTTGACAAGTATTAAAAGTACGATGGCGCACGTAGCCGGCGTAGGACGAGTGTGACTCGCCCACTTAAATCTCACTGAAAAACCACGACCGTCCATGTGTGTGGAGCTCACCCTAATTGCACGCCTAAGACATGCTCGTTGCACGTACGTACGTGTGACGACCCATGTGTACGTCCCGAAAAGAAACCCGCACGCAATCGCATAGTTTCAAGTCTTCGATTAATTTGTCTTTGATTTAGTGGCTGACGAAGGCGACGCGTTAATTGACAGAGATCGCGTTATGTTTTAGAGACGGAAATTGCACAAAACATTTGAAAAAAATTAAGATAATTTTTGCACACACGATTGTAAATATTTTTCTTGGCAATTTTAAACACATTGATAAAATATTACTTTGCAAAAGTATTCATCTCAATTCAATTGTCTTCAATAATTGAATTAATATCATTTCGACAGTGCAAAAGTCATACACCGTAAAGAAGCTGACATTGATGGTAAATAATTTTTGGTAATAATATTAATCACTTTAATAATATTGCACCTTAATAACGAAGGCAAATAACAGAATTCACAATTATCAATTAAAATATTCTGATTGCAAAGAATTAACATTAATTCGTAATGCGTAATTGAGTCAAACTTTTTCGAGTTTCACTTCTTTACTCGTGCACGTTGTCCTACGATAAGCACAAACTGTACAAGAATAATATAGTAACGTTAATAACGTTATTTGTATAAAATAAATATATATACGGATTTTAGTATCACATTTCCGAGGATGCACGACGCGATTCTAGGGTAATGTCGGGTTCGTTCAACAGATCTGACGCTTTTATAGAGAGAGTGCAAAGAATGCGAACTCATTGATCGCCGAATTAAGCCGGCAATCGACAAGTTAAATCCAAGACTAATCGTTCGTTCAATTGGACGCCAGGAGGCCGCGCAGTTCATTTGTTACGCCACGTGGGGTATGAAAAATACGCAGGAGAAAAACAGGATTTTAGAAAAAAGGACATATCTATATAGAAATGTTGTTTACAATTAATTCAAATCAATTTGGCAAATCTCCGAAGTGCACGGGATTTGCGTTTGAGCGCAACTTAATCGTCTTCCCTGATTACGTTCTCGAACGAAATCACTTTATAAAGGATGACATGGTTATAAAATTTTTCCAAGAGGAGAGAGAGATATGTAAAACATTTATATTAACATATTTCCAAGAAATGTATGCGCTAATTTATTATATGACCTTTTAAAATGTTTCCAAGTTTCTTTTGGCAACTATCATCTGTTGCAACAGTGTAATAATAACTAATCTCTTCATTAGAAACTACGATACCGTTAAATCGATTAATGTATACGTCTCTAGTTGCTCAGTGCATTGACTAAACATTGGCTAAATATTGGTCCAATGTTGGTTATATTAGAAATGCATTGGCCGATATTGTCCAACGTAAAGGCCAATATTGGCCGTGAAATAAATGTAAATATTGCACGATAATAATTATATAATATTAGATTTATATTGGAAGTGCATTGGCCAATATTTAACAATGTAATAAGAATATTGATCTAATATTGATACAATGTTAAACCAATATTGCTAAATAGACATATTGGCTAAATAAGAGAAGGCGTTCATCTTACAAGATTGGACCGATATTGGGAATACTAGATTTACGTTATTTCTCAATGTTGCGCCAATATATTGTGCTACTAGGAGTATATATAGCAGAGAAATAAGATTTATATAAATGAATTATATAAAACAATCAGAAATTTTGTTTTCTTCTTTGTTAATAAAATGTCAATAAAATTCCTTCTACACAACAAGGTATATTTTTAAACAGAATGATCAGTTTACGCGGCAAAATTAAATTCATTAATAAAATCGGAATAAAATACGCATTTTCGCGCGAGGAAATCGATACGGCCTCCCCATTCATTGACATTCATTGAGAAAAGAATTAATGAAAACTACCAACGTTTTTGTCCGCGAACGAAAATAGAGGCTGCCCTATGCGTAGGTGCGTAGGACACGCCGCGTAAATCCTGGATCCGGGAATCTCATTGCGTATGTAGGACAGTTAGCCGAGCGCCAAATAAAGACGAATCGTTTCTCACCGGCGACCGTGATTGGCCTCGGGGGTGAAAGAAAAGAGATGAAAGACAATGAGAATGGAAAAAACAACGTCGACGCCCTCACAACGACGCTATTCCACCACGCCTATAAAACCCCGTGGATCAGCAGCGTGCCCGACATTATTCCGCTGCGGAGTCTCGAGGAACGACGTATCCGCGATGATCGTCACCGGGAATCCCGTTAGCCGCGCAACCACCGTCTGCATCCTGGCCCTGCTGCTCTGCTTGAGCTCTCGCGTTTCCGGTGAATACGGTAATACCGATTTTTTTTCCCCGACGATCAAAGTACGCAATCTAAAGTCTCGAACGTTTTACTAACCCTTTGCATCCTAGTGGGGTTTGTCTCGATTTCTACTTATGTTAGTTTTTTAGTATACTGACCTTCCCTAGTAGCACAATATATTGACGCAATATTGGGAAATAATGTAAATCTTATAGTATTCCCAATATTGGTCCAATATTATGAGATGGACGCCTCTTTTTGTTTAGCCAGTATGTTTATTTAGCAATATTGCTTTAATATTGCATCAATATTAGACCAATATTCTTATTACATTGTTAAATCTTGGTCAATGCACTTCCAATATAAATTTTATATTATATAATTATTATCGTGCAACATTAACATTTATTCCATGGCAAATATTGGCTTTACGTTGGACAATATCGGCATTTCTATAACCAACATTAGACCAACGTTTAGCCAATGCACTGTGCTGCTAGGGCTCGCGTCATTATAAGCCTCTGCTAAAAGTATTTTGAATATAAATGGAAATTTATCTTTCACATATGATTGCTCGTATCTAACGATAAGTACTAAAGTAAATTTTGTTAAAAGACAATGGATTTTTATAACAGAAAATATTTATTTTAGACCAGCGGTTTCACTGTGAAGCCAGGGCCGAAGTAGTGCGTCAGAATAACACATTTTTTAAGTTGCATAAATAAGTTATTTATAAGTATCTGAATGTAATAAATGCTTGTTCTTTCTTCAAAAAATTTGTTTTTTCTTACATCGGACATCAAAGGGTTAACCGTGCGTTCGCAGAATCGAGGGAGACGAGCCCGAACGGCGGATCGAGCGACGGCAGAACGCCGAGCAACAATTTCGGTTCGTGTATCGAGGGCAAGTGTATCAAGCGTACCACGCAGGATATCACCAGCGGCATGTGGTTCGGCCCGCGTTTAGGAAAGAGACGCAGGTCGGAAGAGAAGCAGGAAGTGAGCCCCGAGATCGAGGTCCTGGCGAACACGTTAGACGGCGCGCGTTGGGCGGTCATCACGATTCCGGGTGAGAAATCGAAATCTTTCAGAGCCAACTCATCGCTCAGGCCTCATTAAATCCCGAGCTTGCGTGTTACGTTACGCTCGCGCGGACGATAATCGTCTTCTCTTATCACGTTGAAATTTAATCGACATTATTGTTAGCTTCCGCTATCGAGTTCTACATCGGTGTTTTATATAGCGATATTTTTCAAAAAAGTTTTCTCTTGACAAAAATCCTGAATAACTTTAGAGTTGCCAACAATTAAAAATAAATAAAAGCACGCTTTTGCGAACAGTTCAAACTGCATAATTATTAGATTCTAGAAGAATTCTTGGTCAATTTCCTTTTAACTTGTTTTTCCATTAAATTTACACTAAACTCTACTCAAACAGAATTTTAATTTAGTTCTCTTCGAACTTTTCTCCCTCTCCCAGCGAGAAATGACTCGTCAATCGATGTCGAAAAGATGTCGAATCGATATCGACACCTTCAAATTGATGAACGAATCATTTCTCTCTGGGCTCCCTTTCCACGAGGTTTCGTTTGGAAATTTATTAACGTTCTCAATGATGTAATGGAATTGCATCAAAGTCCATTGTTAAATTTGAAGATTCAAGAACAATGTAATCCTCCCATTTTGCTCGCAATTATGACCACCGAGAATAAATTTCAGCCAGCGACAAGAGACAACCTCAATTTACACCGCGTCTGGGACGAGGCTCGAGTGAGGATCTGTTTTCTTACGGGGATGCGTACGAAGTCGACGAGGACGACCGTTCGTTACCGCCGATATTCGCGCCTCGTTTAGGGCGTCGGCTTCCCTGGATACCGTCGCCGAGGCTTGGACGTCAATTACGCAACGCATTACGGAAACTGTAGGCATTATCTGATAAAAGCTAGAAGATCATTGAAAGTTGAGGAATGAAAGTATCTCGTAGATTTGTGCGATTGTGAGGACCTTGACGAAACGACGACCACAATTACAGCATTATTATACGTATAAGACATAGAGAAATAAAGTATATTTGTATTGCCAAAACTAGCTGTCCTTTCCCTCGTACCTTAAAAATTATTCCGTGTTTGTTAAAGTGTTTGTGACACGAAATTCAACATAATTTTTAAATTATCGATATCCAGGCTAAATATGGTATTGCAACAAAAGGCTTGCATTTCCTTTTTCATTCAATTGCGATTATTGTTGTTATTGTAGGCGATTATTTTATGAACAAAATAAGAGTGCAGGGATAACAAGTAAAAATTTTATATAATATATCAAATTACACAGATTTTTCGATAAACGTAAAATATTTTTTTAATAAGATATATATGTATGTATATGCAAAATTTATAATGTAATAAGTGATAAGATAATGCTTAAGTTACGTTTATCAGTTATAAAGATTGTTTACTTCAAAGAACTTAATTAAGTTTCTTTTTTAATTCAATCAATTCTTGCAAAAAAATTTTCGAAAAATCTTTGTTTCGTGTTCTTTTTTTATCTATTTTTAAAAATGCGTTTTCAATTAGGTCGAAAATAGACTTTTGGTTAAAAAAAATGTCATTTTAATCTCTTGCGTTACAATATAGAATTCGTTCTCTACTAGTAGACTCTAGTGGACTCAAGAAATAATGAACAGAAATAAAAAGTTAATGCTGTAATTATCGATAATGTAAATTACCTCAAAAATAATAAGAACCGATTGTAAACACGCAAAAATATTTTCTTCTACAATACGTTACGGTAATATTAAAGAAAAATCTAGGAATGGAGCAGCATATATTACAAGTTCGTACGAGGATGTATGTACGTGGAGGATGATAGACGCTATTTTCAGCGTCTCGAAAAGGGTTGAAATATCTGACTCTCTCTCTCTCTCTCAAGAGGAAGTAGGACGGTGGAGGAAAGAAGAGGCGGGGTGCTGAACTACAGCGAGTAATTCCTCGACCGGAACTACTGGCGAGCCATGTGGCAACGTACAAGACGATCATAATCGTAAAACAGCGAGGCGGAGCAGATACAAGTTAGCTTCTAGTTCCCGCCTTAGAACGGCACCGTATATCGAGGATTGCTCGTAAAACGCATCGGGAAAAAAATGCCTTCGATGAGAGCCACGGAATATTAACGCTGATCGTGGCAACACATTATACAAGATGCTCACCGATAAGACCAAACGCTCTCGCGACGAGAATACTTCGACTAATCTCCAAATCAGTTTGTTTGGAAAAATAAACCTCATAGGAATATGAAATTTTCATTGTGAACAAACGGTTGGTCATAAACAGTAAGACGCATTTTCTGTTTAATGTTTGGTCGATTATCGAGACTCTTATCGTTAAATTAAGAAATTAAATTTTCGATAAAAAAGGGTCTTTAAAAGATATTAATAATACCAAATACTACACGGAGAGAATTGGCCAATGCACTTCCAATATAAATCTAATATTATATAATTATTATCGTGCAATAATTACATTTATTCCATGACCAATATTGGCTTTACGTTGGACAATATCGGCCAATACATTTCTAATATAATATAACCAACATTGGAGCAATGTTTAGCCAATGCACTGTGCTACTAGGACATAATGAAGCTTTGTATCTCTGTGAAAATATTATGTCGAAAAATTATGTTGAAAATATTAATTCTTAAATACATAAGATGTAATAATGATGGGAATTAAAGAGGAAAGATCTCTGGTGACTCCAATTCAAGACTCGTATTCTGAATCCTCTTTTATCGATAAAAGCGCCCGTAAAAGATCCTTTCAGCCAATAAGAACCGGTTTTAACTATAAAATGGACCCGAAGAAAAATTTTTAATGTTTAAAGAAAGCAAGTAGCATTCTCGATACGGCAGAATTATGATTTATGGCATTTTGCGGAGTAACGTTCGCTCGCGCGCAAAGCAGAGAAAAGTCTTGGGGAAAGAATTTTGATAGTCGCGCGTATGTAAACACGATTGTATTAAAAATTAAATTATCGCAGGTAAAATAAACGATTGCTCGCGCAAAGATCGTGCACATCTTAAAGCACGGATTAAAATACGCGATATATAAATTACGCGTTCATTTCTGTGTTCCGCAAGTAGTACATCTCTATGGAAATGTCTGTCTGCCATTCTTGCGTCAAGTGACGCGGTTGTTCCTTGCCGAATAAACTATGAGCGGTTTTATGGTTGTAATAAACGACTAGGGCGCGTCTATCGCTGCCTTAATTCGTCGAAATTATGTCGGTCGCTGTCAAGCTAAATCATTTTATTTACTGACCTAATTCTTATTTGATTCTTTATAGAAATCTCTAACTTTATATATATATGCCTCCTAAATATCTGAATAAAAAATAAAAAAATAATTTTTTTTTATTTTATCCTTCAAGTCCTAACGTCTTTTATAATTATCTATAATATTATTATAAATAATTTTTTTTTAACTAATAATATATTCTCCAGATTACTTCTTTTTCTAGCCTTAATATGATTTAGCTTGACAGAGTCAAGCTAAATCATTTTATTTTCCTTTATTGCGGGATATCGAAGATATGAAAAACTAAACCTTAGTCCCTCCATCCGTTTACGTTAAACATGCGCGACTGCTGCTCTCATTTTTATTATTTTCTTATCCCGCTATTAAGCTCAAGTTAACTTACATGTTTTAATTTTTCACATGTTCGTCTTACCTTTTACATACGTTCGGTTTAACGAAATGCAGTTCCAGTCGACGCGAATTCTCTCGCTTATATCAAACGAAAAAGGAGTAGAAATTGGGAGTAGTCAACTTGCTAGAGCCGATTCAGTGAATTCTGAAATGGCGCTGACTCGCAGCGCCATCACACCCACTCAGAGAGAAGCCTGAGAGCGGCCATGCCGTCGGGTTTACTTGAGACCGATTTTCGCCACCAAATGTGGATGTAAGAACTACGGAGACACATCTACTTATCGACACAGTCGATAAGTATCACTTTTTGGTGCGTGTCCGTGCTACATACACTTTTCGACATTGGTTGCGTTCAGCAGAAAAAGCTGCTTTGCAACTGTTGTAAAATTCGTGAATCTGATTGGTGTATTCTCTTAATCTTGAGTGAATTTAAGAGCATACGCCAATCAGATTCACGAATTTTACAACAGTTGCAAAGCAGTTTTTTCTGCTGAACGTAGCCATTGTCTTAACATCCATAAATTGTGGATATAGCACAGACATACGCCAAAAAACGATTTATCGACAATGTCGGAAAGTGGATGCAGCACGGACACGGACCAAAAAGTGATTTATTGATAATGTCGAAAAGTGGATGTAGCACGGACATGCACCAAAACGCAATATTTATCGACTGTGGTAATACGAGCCATATGAACCTAGCTTTTGGCGGGACTTGTTTTGATTACAACAGCAAGACATTTCGATCAAAAGAAATTTTCTTTTAATTAAGTTATTTTCATTAATTAATCAGCACGTAAGATTTTTAGTTACTACTTGAACCTTTCGCTACAATTGGACGTTTCAAATTCAATTTTTATAGTCTGAGCAATAGTTTTATCATTGACCATCATATATTTATACGCACGAATATTATCGTTTTATCAAACGATTGGAAGTTACGATAAATCCATATTCGAAGGAAAGTACACGTTTTTATATTTTTAAGCGTGATAAAATTTTCTAACGTTTGCGAGGAGCAACATTTATCCGTGACGAATTAGAAACATTTTATCTTTTTTATTTACGCATACATTTAAAGTGACATTACGAAACGTCTGATTCAATTATAATCAACACAAGTCTCAACGTTACCGCCCGTGTCAAGGCTTACACTTTGACACTGTCGGCCGCACACGAAAAGATAAGCAATTTATATGTATAATATTAATTGTAATTATCCTCTTTCTCGTTGTTAACCAGTGACTTTCTCATTTGTATAATCCAGGAACGGTAAATTTCTTTACAATTTCTATTGTAAGTTCAAGTCGAAAGATCCGAAGTCACATTTCCATCGAGTTTCTTTATTCGAATCAGTTTCTCTGCTGATTCTTCAACATCAATAAAAACAAATTCTTACTCACCGAGCCGATGTGCAACAGCGGAGTTGTATATCTGCCACGTAACTGCGTTGATTCTGTAATAAATATAAAGTTGATCTTATAACAGTGTTCAACGAAACCAATATTGCAAAATATGATTTTTAAACATATCGAACTTTCTACTCGAGAGAAGAGAAAGATGCGAAAAAAATTACATTGCGAAAGATTTTTTGCAAAAGATCTTCACAAGAAATTTTCACAAAATTTCAAGTTTTTCTTCTTTTCTAATTATTAATTCAAAATTACAGTGAAATCAAACGATTCGACGATAAACTGGAAAACAGATTAATTGTACACGAAATAAAAAATGATGCGGGAAAATGAAGTTGACGCGTGAATAACGCATCAATAATTCTACTCACCAGAGAGTTGCTCCGCCGTCGCCCGATGCCTCCCAGGCCGCCACCTCCTCTCGGACTCCTTCATTTCACACTAGCACAACACTCGCGAAAGAGGAGCTATCTTACGATCGCGCGCGCTAATTACCGAAGTAACGCACGACACGGCACTCCCGGTGTTAATCGACGCGGACTTTACTGCAACGAGAACGAGAGACGCAATTGCGCGCGAGAATACGAGCCGCATCTGCCGAGGTGGCGTCGTGCCAACTGCCAAGTGATGCCCAGTGAGAAATAATTCGTCCATCGACATCGATGGACGAGTCATTTCTCGCTGAGCGGGCACGTTCTGGAGGGAAGGACTCGCGGACGTACGCGAAGCTAACTTCACGCGCGTCGTGAAAAAGGCAACCGAATTCGTGCGTTCGACGGGGCGATTTCGCGCGAACCTTCCTCTCGCCGCGCATCACGCGTGGGAAACTCGGGTATCGCTGCCCTCGCGAGGGGATGAGAATTAAGACTGAAGAGCTCGGTGTACTCGGGGGCGCGCGAGGATACGCCGGCGCCGCAGCGACGCCGACCGCGCGAGACATTTCGGCCGAGATTTGACAGATTCACGCGTCCCGGTGGATTACCGACGCGTGACGGTCGAGTCTACGCCGCGTGATTGTTATACTGGACAATGGAGCGAACTTACCGCGATTGTGCGTACCGCGAGACGCAACGACCAACGCACGAGACCGATCCGCTGCGTGTCCACGGGCTCCTCGAACGGATCAACATGGCGTCGCTGCGCGACGCTACAACGGCGGTGCTACGCGAGTCGAGTCAACGACGCGATATGTCTCGAATAAACGCGCTCACTCGAAAAATACGCACGTTGACGACACGTTGACGCACGTTGACGCACGCAATCGACACCTTCGCAGGTCTCCTCACGATTCACTCACTTTACTTATCGAATGAGGTACGTTCTCCGAGAAGGACGAACACGACGTCCCACGGTACTCGCGGAATCGAGGAGCTCGATCACGGCTGTGGCATCGTTTAACGACACGGGGGACGATCGCGCACATCGTCCCGCGACACTCGTATCGGCGGTGCGAACGACAGTGCGACTCGCGTCTCTTCTGGATCTCGACGCGCAGCGGCCGCGGCAGCGCGAACTACACGAGTCAAAGGCGCGTTGGAAAATTCACTTCAATTTCACTCGCGCGACGTGTCTCGAATAAGTGCGCAAATACGCGCGAAAAAGTGCGAACGTTGACGCGCAATCGATATCCTCGCGGCTCTCCTGTACTCAAGTGACCCGTGATATTCGTCTCTGACGTTAACAAGTCTTGTACGAGACGATCGCGTTGCGTAGATGATCAAGATTCTCGTAAAAGATGATCGCGACGCGAAGACACACGGAACCGTCCGTCCCGCTCGACTGATCCGTGCGGACTGATTCGGGCACAATAGATTGTTTTCGAGCGAGGTCGGGCGCTACGTCATTTCTTGGAATCCCGGCTCGGCGACCGAGTTGTGTTTACTATAAAGTACGTTACGTCGTTTTTTTGGAATCCGCGCTCGGTTTTCGGCCGAGGTGTTTTCACGTCATTCGAGGTCATTCACGCGGCGACGGTCGAACGAGTCGGTTGTGTCCGCGCCGCTCCGCATATCGTATTGTTTTTTCTCGGTACGCGTTCGCGACGAGTATAACGGGTGGAAACCGCGATCGCTCTCTGCGAATAATCGGTGAACGATATCGTCGCGTGATCGCGGAACTTTGAGTCGAATATCATCGCGATACGTTTAAGTGAAAAATTAAATATCAATCAATCTTATCCGTGCTTAATTATATCCCACATAATATTACGAAATATATTAGTAATATTATAATATTGCAGTAATATTACTATGATATATCAATAATATTACAGTAACATTTTCGATGTATTTTATTATAATAGTCCATTGGAAATGTAACATTACTGTGATATTACTGTAACATTACGTGCTACGTGGAATGTAATATATTTACCCATCGATAGTTTAAATTTGACATTTATACATCGATTTCTGTTGATTAAAATTCATACTATCGGATTTTACAAGGAATACCGAGTGCAAATAGTGACTTTGTGCAATCGTATACTTTTGTTCCCTTAATTTCCTGTCGCGTGTGATTAGTGCTGAGGTGTTATACAAAGTGTCACGAAGTCTCATCGATCGTTCCACGGAGTTTGGTCAATCGTGTCACGAGCTTCGGTCAATCATAGCACGAAACGTAAGTACACATTTCATATGAGATCGATTACGAGAAATTAAACATGAATGGTTTCTTTTTATATCTGGTAAAAAATCCATTCATTTATTACATATGAATACGCGCGAATTAAATCGTACATCGTAAGTTAATTTGTCAGTGAGTTTCCAAGGAAACGAAATTTAATGAATTTCTGATTATTTTTGGTGTTTTATTGACGAATATTGAATTCGTAGTATCCGCCAATTTTCTCGATTGCTTGCACTGTAAATAATATTCACGCATAACAATTTCTGCCGCGTTGGATTGGTTGGAAGAAAATTTCCGACGAATCCAGCGTGTCAAAAATTCTATTCCCTATTCCTATTGCCTGTTGCCTCTGGCATTGTGTGATAGGCTTTAGACCGGTATTCATAGTCGAGTCTTATTTCAAAATCATCTTAAGCGTTGTCTTAAAACGCTAATACGGCTCAGTGATTGGTTAAAAACACATTAATAATATACTTAAGATGATCTTAAATATAAGAGCGGACTATGAATACCGGCCTTAGGCCTTAGGCCTTAGGCCGACAACGGCGTAGCGGCCATACTTGCGAACAGTGGCGCCAGCTGGTGGCGACGTCTTTTGATCCATTCGTTCCGCGCCGCGAGGATTGCGATAAATGCCGGGGGCTGGGACGCTGGGGTTGTTCTCACAGAATCTCCGAGTAATCGCGGGACATGACGTCGTTCAAGAAGATAAATACCAAGGCGTTCGCCAGGACGGGACCGGAGTTGACCGAGGATAATATATATTGGAAGAAATACACGGTACGCTGTTGCTTCGGTCGATGGAGACGCTTCTCGCCGTGGTCGCGTCCACGTGCGTAACCTACGTGCGATAAACATCCGTTTGCCTCGAGTGTGAAAAGGAACCGGAGGATGAAAGTTTCGGTCCACGGCGCATTCCACAAAGAAAAACACAATCGTTCGCCAGGATGTAATAATAATAATAAGAGAAAGCTCGAGTTAAAATTATGCTACACGACTCCCTAGTTTTAAGCGTCGCAAGCTAAAGTCTAATCTACAATGTGCTCTCTGTATCTAGAAACATTCTGTTTTGTAGTCGCTAAATACATTTAAAAAGTTTGCGCAAGTGAATAAATTGTATTTTATATACTGTGCAATCGTACATTGTCGACAAATGTTTTAAGCGTTTCGATTTGTTTATATAAAATAGAATGTTTCTAGATGCAGAAAGCACATTGTAGATTAGGCTTAAAGAGAGACGAAAGCACGTGTTCTCACATCTTTTCTTACACTCGCACTCTCTGACGTTGTAGCAAGTAAGGAGAAAAGCTTATTTACCTTGGAACATTTGGATCTCTTTGGTAGCATCGATCTGAACTAAGGCGCAGCAGCTCCGTTGAATTGAATTTGTCAGAACAGAAAAGACACATGTGAGATAAAATGATATATGTATTTGAGAAAAAGAATACTATTCTCTAAGCAATGTGAAGGTTTCAGTAGGTTTTGTGCTACTTTGCCTCTGAAAGTGTAGGTTTCCATTAAGAGAAGTGTAGGTTTCCATCAAGAGAATATTTTTAACAAATGCACTTCTGTCCGTGTAAAGCGAGGATACAGTGTTAACTCAATTTCGACAAAAATGTCGCACATTCTTCTTCTGTTCTCACTGATTCAATTAACTGTTCGCTTATGAAATGTTGCTTATACACAAAATTATACGCCGCAACAAATAAGACTAAGATCGGTGAGATTCCGTTTACCACTGAGTTACCTAAATATTTACGACATAGATATCGTTACGAACTGTTAAATATATTTTTCATGTAAAGTCCGCTCTTTGTTCTTACCGTATATACTTACATTTGATTATATAACGAGCGTTAGATGCATTTAAGATATTTCTTAAACTCGCCATCTCTCAGCCACTTGTAAAACTTGTACGCGCAGAGAATGACACATTGTTGAAAGTAATTTTATGTTTGCAGCCTCCAGTTTTGATAAAAGAATTTGGCCCGATCGACTACATCGACTTCTCGCCGGTAGAGCCGCATTACTTCGCGATAACCTGCTCGGTACGGGTGCAGCTGTACAATCCCATCACCAAGTTGGTCACCAAGACTTACAGCAGGTTCAAGGAGGCCGCGTACGGCGGTTGCTTCCGCCGAGATGGCAAGCTGCTGTGCGTCGGCGGAGAGGAGGCGGTGGTCAGACTCTTTAACATCGGTTCCAACAGCATGCTGCGGATCTTCTCCGGGCACAAGGCCGCGGTGCACCGAGTGTCCTTCACGGCCGACGATCTTCACGTCGCCTCGTTCTCGGACGACAAGACCGTGGCGCTGTGGGACATCCCCAGCGAGAAGCAGCTGATAAGCTTCAACGAGCACACGGATTATGTCAGAGCCGGCGCGGTGAGCCCCGTGTCCACCGACGTGCTACTGTCCGGCGGGTACGACAAGATTGTAAATATGTACGACGCCAGAACGAATAAGAAGATACTGAGCGTTAATCATGACGCGCCGGTGGAGAGTCTGCTCTTCCTGCCAACTGGAGGAATATTCCTGTCTGCGGGTATAACACTTGCGTTACCCTGATTATTTTACGCGTGTCTACTCGGAGAGAATTGTCTCTTAAAATTCATCCCGAGAGTCATGTTAATCGTGGGGACAACACGGCATTTCAGTTTTTCAAATAAAATCTATGGGAAAATTTAAGAAAACTCGCCTAAAGTTCTGCAAAATGCCACGTTGTCCTACGATTTTTAGGATAAACTTTAAGAGGAAATTCTCTCCGTGTATATGTTTTAAAAGTTTCCCAAATTCTGCCATAATATGTGTAATATATGTATAATTGAAGAGTTTGGTGGAAGAGCGATTCAAGTCAAATTTTATTTATTCAAAGTTCTAAAATTAAAAATTTCTTAGCCAAACTGTAACATTCAAGTGAATGTTGAAAAGCTTGAAAAGCTTAGTTTATAGTATGTGAAAAAAACATTGGTTTTCCACCAAGCTCCTCACTTTCACACGGTTGATGCTTCACGTATACGTGTAATTTCAAGGTGGGACTGATATCAAAGTATGGGACGCTCTCGCGGGTGGCAAGTTGCTCGCGAAAATCACGCAACATCACAAGACTGTGACTTGCCTGAAAATCGCTTCTAACGGTCATAGAATACTGTCTGGTTCGTTGGACAGGCACGTTAAGGTTTACGATGCTGGAACGTATAAAACCCTTCATTCTTTGGACTATCCCAATGCGGTTCTCAGCATAGGAATTAGTGTAAGAAAAGTTTTTTTTACCGCTATGAGAATTTGCTTGAATCTATACTTGTTCAATATAAAAACAATGTATCGTTATTATTACTAAATTAAGCGATGTATAGAAATGAATGTATCAGATTAAATACGTCAACATTGAATTGCAGGCAGGCGACGAAACCGTCGTAGCCGGTATGGTAGATGGTATGATTTCCGTCAGGAGACGCGAGGAAGATGTAAAGGATGTGATAAAACCGAAACGCAAGAGGATGTCGTACAGACACGCGGGCGAAAATCTGCACGTGCGGAGTATTGACGTGGTCGTGCAGCAAGACGTCAAAGAGATAATGAGCAAACATGACACCTGCTTGCGAAACTTTCAATATAGTAAAGCGCTGGACTGTGTCATGATGAATTATGTGGTCAATAAAATGCCGCATGTCACCGTAGCACTTACGCAGGAGCTCATCAGGCGCGAGGGCTTGAGGCGAGCCTTGGCCGGTAGAAACGGCAAGTCGTTGGTTAACATTATTAAATTCTTAAACAAATACATCGGCAACATACGTTTTGGAAGGGTACTGTTGCACGTAGCGAACGTGTTGATGGGTAAGTTTTGATTATTTTGTTAGACTTTAGAAACTCGTGTTTTTCTTACATTGATAAAGAAACTTACTCTGTGTTCAATAGATGTGTACGAGGACCATTTAGACGAACTGTCGGAGGAGACACGAAAAACGTTTGCTATACTATCGCAAAAGTTACAGGAGGAAGAGCGGTTAATTCTAACCCTGACGCAATTGCAGGGTTCAATGCAAATGATATTGTCTGGCGCCGAAGTGTCTTCTTTGCCTGCCATAAAAGAGAATCAAAGCTTGGAACCATCAAACGCCGCTCAAACGGAACGTGATATTATTTTAAATATAGCTTAGATATTATAAAGAATATAGATTAAATTTAGTTTAACTTATGCAAAATATTATCCAATTGTATAATTTTTGTAAAATACTTTCCTGTACATAACTTTACACTACATTAATATCAAATTTCTCGAAGTAAAGCAAGCAACGATTTAAATATCTTCACTACAGGTAATTCCCTTCGATGAATAAGTAAAGAATAACAAATTGAGTTGTTTAAAAATTAAAGTAATATTTCTCTCAACGTGTATGACAATCTTTGCGAAAGTATAATGAAAAACTTTATCTCGTAGTGTACACAAGTCGCGTGGCTTAAAGATATTCTAGCAAATTGTTTTCTTTATTTTTTAATTAAACTTAAATTAACATGTCATTCACTTATTTCAAGAAGTCTCCTTATTGAGGCATTTTTGCCAAGCAGCAGAAGATGGTTTTTCGGGCACTATCCATCCAATTGGAATTGTTGTCCCATCATTTTCCGAACCAATGAACTTATCCCATGCCGTACTGAAATACAAGAAAGGTACAGTCAAAGAAAGATTTTTCCAATTGAAAAAAAAACAAACTAACATGACATTATCTTGGATGAATTACATCTTAATATTAAATACACACCGAATCATAATAAAACTATCCACATTCTTGTAAGATCGTTCAGCAGCCAGTACACTTGTTCCAAATAGCACATGCTCCCAATCTTCGAATATATTTTTCGTCTGCTTTTCGATCCTCTTTTCGTTATCTGTTTTTAACATCAATTTTAATTCCTGTTCTTCCACCGCATATTCGTGATCCAAAGTGGTCCACTGTTCCGTTAATTTAGCTGTAACATACATTCATCATTAATTGCACGAAAAAGCCGACAATTCAAAATCTTATTCAATATCCTATTATATATTCTTCGCATTTTAAATTTACTTTATTTTTATTAAATATTAAGTTGTCAAATTATATCTGTTTATTAAACATTGATATTAGATTTATATTATTCACATTACATTTGCGTTTATCGGCGCCTCTTTTTTTATCTTGAGTTTTGAAAAACTTGTCATTAAAAATAATAATTTTACAACAATAAAATACTACCGATGGTATCATTGAATGCTCCGTCATCTGCCGAGGACAGTTTTTCGCCCCTTGCTCGAGCGATGTTCGCCTTGATATTTCGTAAGTTCTGTAGTTCTTGCAAAATTCCCAGATACTTTCGCGCATCGCTCCTCTTGCTGCGAACGTCGGACAGAACCATGTCCGCGTCCTTGCGCAATTTCTCCTCCTGTTTTTCCCGCTCGATTACCGCCTGCTCCTTTCGGATCCACGCGTCAGCCTCCGCGTGCAACCTCGCTCTTCTTTCTTCCCTCATTAACTTTTCTCTCTTCCACTCTTTTCTTCTACGCCGCTCCCTCGTACGTTTATTCTTACACCTTTCTAAATCTTTCTTAACTTTACTCAAAAAGTTCACGTCTTTTACGGTTCTCAAGATCTCGCAGATTTCATGCTTCGCAGCGTTACAGGCATTGACCTTCTCCTGCCATTGCTCTTCCGGCAAGTGAACGTCGCTCTCGAGTTCCGCGCAAACGGCCTCGAGGCGTTTATTCAACCTAGCCACCGATATCAACGCACTCTTAGCAGCCGCGATCTGACACGGACCTTTCCGCTTGCTCTTGGTAGGAACCGCCGGTTCCGCCCCTTGAAGGAACTGTTCAATGGCCTTTTCGTCCTCCCGTCTCGTTCTTACTCTATCGATTGACGTCGCGTTATTAACAGTACTGTTATCACATGTTACATGGCTTGGATAAACGTTATAATATATATTCCCGCCGTAATTTACGTTGTACGCTTGCTGTACGTTGTACGGTTGCTGAGTTACCGGATAGTACATATTAAAATGCACATTTTCATAAGTTTGTCCAGTATCTTGGAAAGACTGACCTCTGTACATGTTTGCAGTTTGGTACACGTGCCTCTGAGTGAGAACAACAACGAAGAAAGAAAAAGTAGAGAACTTAGACTACAGTAGTTTCAAGTGTACAATTAGTCAATTGTAACAGATTAGTAAGGGTGAGGGGTATAAATATTCGGATAATATTTGAAAGTAATTTAGCAAAGATCGTCGGACATTGTCTTCCTTAGCACATCTGCAGGATATCCCCTTCCTTCGGCAGCTGCTCCTCTGCCTCCTGCAGCACTTTTTCGGCTTCAATGTAACCCTCGACCTCCTTCAAGTCTTGCTCGGTGTCCAGGATCTTCTTGAGTTCCTCAAACGCTTTAACGAGGCGCCTCTGACAGTCTGGCACCATCATAAGGGATTCCTGCAGCACCTCCTCCTGCTTCTTTATGTCGTAGCTGTCTTTGTCTACAAAAATACACGTGTTCTGTTAACAAAACCGTTTAATAGCAGTTTGCCAGTGACGCTGTTTCGAAGGTACCAAGTTTAAAGGAACAAAAACACACTGCAAGTGAAAATCAATTAAATCCTGATCTACGATGTTGCCTCTTTGCGCCTAGAAATATTCTATTTTGTAGCTAAGTAAAATTTTCTGCAAGTTAATAAATTGTACATTACATAATCTTACATTGCCGACAAATGTTTTTAAGCCTTTTAATTTGTTCATACAAAATGTTTCTAGACGCAAAGGGCACCTTGTAGAGGGTTTACATTCCTATGAAACAAGTGTACCGCTACAAACGTTCGAAGACATCTCTTAAAAGAAAATATTACAATTGAATATACTATTGTTACTATCGGATGAATCGGCTAAGACACTCGAACGTATGACGCAGCTACGAAACGCAAGGTGTTTCTAGACGCAAAGAGCAGCTTGTAGAGGGTTTACATTCCTACAAATGTACCGCTACAAACGTTCGAAGACATCTCTTAAAAAAAAAATATCACAATTGAATATACTATTGTTACTATCGGATGAATCAGCCAAGACACTCGAACGTATGACGCAGTTACGAAGCGCGACAACGTCACGTGGTAAGCGGAATCGCGTTCTTCCTCTCCGCGCGGGTCCTCACCCTGATCTTTCAGCTTCTGTATCCTCTCGCGCTGCTGCGCCGCCTCCTTCTCGTACGTGACCTTCTCCTTGGCGAGGCGCTTCACTACTCCTGTCTTAATCTTGAGCGTTCTTATGCGCGGGTCAGACATTATTTGTCCGTGCGTTCGAACCGGGACGCTACTCGCCTCCTCCTCGAGACGTCGGGAAACGGGAGTGAGGTCCGGGCTCGCGGACGCGCGTCAAGAGATCGAGGGGGGTCTCCTCGGCTTCTCCCTTTCCTCTTCTCGCCTTATTAGGCAGGGGCGAGTCGACAAAGACGGTATCGTGGTCCACAACTGCGACGCGACGAGGTTATGTTGCCGCCTCGCGCACTCACTTCACTTCGGTACCGTCCGACGTTCGCCGGATCTCGATTTCGATTTCGCGAGGTGGGGGGGGGGGTCGTTAGGCTATATCGATATTTCGCCGCGATATTTGATCCGTCCTGCGACTTCCCTCGTGTCGCGTCGACACTTTTTCGCCGTCGTAGCTCGCGGGTTTTAGTCGCGATCTATAAATCGCGGGAGCAGCTTTATCGCGCGACTGTTGTTATCGGGGCTCCGGTAAGATGGTCGGGACGGGATCGTTGCCGTTGCGTCATTATCGCGCCCCGTCCAATGAGAACGTGCCGAACGTTGACGGTGATCCGCGGCGCGATTATTTTCCGAAAGGCGATAAAGTATGTCGATAAAGGGAACGGCGCGCCGTATGTTGTACAGTAGTTGACGCCGGGAAATTTATACTTCAGTTTGTGCTTTTTTTTTCCTAAGGTCACGGTATTTCAATTGTTCGAAACGATACAAGTGCATATAACGGCAGACTCGGTCAACGGTTAATTAAGACACAATCGACCGTCCAAAACTAATCAGAAATTCACTAAGTTTTGTTTTCTTTGAAACGATATGGTGATTAACGATAAAAATCAAACTTTAATATATTTGCTATACAGTCTAACATTTCATGATACGATCATACACAGTTGGAAAATTTGTGTTTTCTCGTTAAAAAAAATGCCGGTTGAAATTTTTGTGCTAAATGTTTAACACATTCATGTGTTGATTTAACATATTGCTCTTGGGTTAATTGACCACAAATGTAAAATTATTAAAATAACTGAAAGGAAACGTTAAAACAACACAATGTGTACTTATTTTTTTATCTGACACAATACATATGTTCTGTGTTATTAATAACAAAATTTATCTCTTAAAATTGACAGGATAAAATGTCGACTTTATTCTATATAACATAGGTAAGTGAGAGTGATTTCGAGCCGTCATTTGACTTATTACATCTGTAAAACATAAAATTTACATTTTAAGAAATTCATTTTGTCCTTAAAAATCTGTTAACTTTGTGTAAAATTAACACATTTTTAAAGATCTGCTCTATTTCTGCCGCCAATCTGCTATTTAAACATGTTATCAAGCTTTGTTATATTTCAGTTGATGTTTTGCCAACAATCATGTGATATATCAGAGCCTGTATCAAATCTGTAGTCTTCCCGTCGAGAAAATTTGGAAGCAGAGTTTCCTCAAATCTGTTCTCTACAGGCTTGGCCGTCTGGATAGATTCATTCTCGCGAAAATTTGATCGGGACGTTCGTCGCGTGTATCTACGTGCCGCGTGGAAATTTAAGCGTCGCGCCAAGAGTGAAACCAGTTTCGTTCGCGCGGCGGCGACGCGGGCCGTGGGTTGGCGAGCCTGGGCGCGGCACAGCCCGACTCGCAGTCAACTTCGCGCCGCGCGCGCGTGCGCGCGCAGCCGTGCGTGGCCGCCGTACTCCGGCGGCGCCTTCGCAGAGCGAGGAGCCGCACCGTCGCGTACATACATACGTACGCCGTGTGGTGTAAGGGGACCCGCAACGGGGGACGTGCCGTGCCGTGCCGCGTCGTGCGGTGGCGGGGCCGGAAAGAGGGAGCGAGACAGGGTGAGCGGGCGCAGGAAAGAGGGTGGAGGAGAGAGAGAGAGAGAGAGAGAGGAAGCGGGAGCGGACGCGAGGGTGGTGTGGTCACACTGGCGCGTCCGCCGTCGACTGACAACGTCCACGAGGGAGAGTGTGATGCGGCTCGCGCGATGGTGGACAACGAGTTCCCGGCCGCCGAGAAGATCCTCCGCGACATCGAGAACACCGTCCGGAGGAATCCCGCCATGTGAGTACCGCGACTTTTCTTCTCACCACTCCTCCCACCCCACCCCCCCTCTCCCCTCCCGCCCGCCCCGCTCGCGGTTAAACCGCAGCGAAGCCCGTGACGAGGTACGGGCGTGTTTTGTACCCGTCACTGTCCCGGTTCTCTCCTCTCTCTCTCTTTCTTTGTTTCTTTCTCCGACGGGCGAAAGAAATCGGCGGAGTCCGCGACCGACCGAGAGTCCAAGGATGCGCGAAACCCCCTCCCCTCCCCCTCCTTCTCCTCCCCCCGCGTCATGTTATACTGTCGCGGATCGCGACGGCTGATCGTCACTTCCGCGAGTCGCAACCGTCGCGATCGACGTTTCGCAATTCGTCGCGCGACGAGAGTACGTGGTCTTTTCTTTCTTTTTTTTTTCTTTTAGGTGCGTTCGTCGAGTCTCGTGCCGATCGCTTTCGTCCGTCGTGTCGCGGCGCACGCACGTCGGATCTCGTTCCCGATGGCGCGAAGGAAACGCAGCGAGCGTGGAGCGGGCTCGATATATAAACGTGTATCGATTTAAAATCGCCGCGGACTTGGGCGAAGGGGGATCCTAACCTAAACGGCTCGCCGCGACACCCGCAAACCGGCAACGGTCGCGCACGCACCGCGCGGTCCTAAACGCGCAGTTGCGAGGGCGGAGTCTTCGGGATGGTCGGCGCGAGGGGCGGAGGCGGCGGGAGGAGGGAAGGAAAAAAAGCGCGCACCGGCGATCGCGAATAGAGTCGCGCGCCCTCGCGATTTTGACGCGCGACGATCGATCTCGCGCGCGCGCCAACTTTCCGCTCGCCGCTACGGCAAACTTCGCGGCGGTAATAGCCGCGAAGTTGACCGCGAGTCCGCCGCGAGTCACGTGCTCCAACCGTAATTGGCCGCTGCTCTAGATCGTAATTTACGAAACGTCAGGCGAAAGAGAGGAAAAGCAAGAGAGAGAGAGAGAGAGAGAGGAAGAGAGATTTAATTCTTTCATGGTCATCCAGGACGTGCAAATCCCGCTTGCAAAATTTAAAAAGAGCCAATAATTTAGCGCGCGTTTCACTCCTGGAAAAATGCGCTGCCAAAAATTTACGAACGAAAGACTAATTCGGTCCCGAAAGGATTGACTCGGTATCGTCGAGTTATCTTATTTATTCTATTCTATTAGCTATTCAACACAGCGAGAGAAATAAACGGCATGCATCTCTCTCTTTTTTTTTCTTTCGAATTTGTACATACCTACGAATTATATATTATACGACATGCAGCGAACTGCAGTTTGACGAATTAGTCGGCCGTGTATACGTCGGCAAATTACGGCTTGTCCGAACAGCTCCGCGAGTAATTAAAACTGATCTTCTTAAGCCCGGGTCTAACGCGGAACGTAATGTAATGAGTAACGCCCGAGCATTTGTTAACGGCCCCGTTTTACATTCATCCCTTTTAATACGCGACTCTGAATTCGCGTTAATACGAGTAACCGGAGACGCAGATGTTTCGCGCAAAAATGGAAGCTCGTTTAAAACCCGCGTTTATTTCCCGGACAACAATGCTTGTTAATCTCGTTATCCCGGTCTTGTCGCGCTCGAGATTAAAATAAACTCGCGACTATGATTGGGGACGGGGCAAAGGAGGATGCGAGAGAGGGGAAAAAAAGATGGAAATCTGCGCGGGACGGAGAGACGCGTGGTAAATAATCGGCCGCGCGTCCGGCGGCTCGTAAAGTAGCGCCATCCTGGGAGCATCGAGCGCAAATAACTGCGCGTTTATTCGCGCCCGATCTTTAACTCCGCTTACGTAACGCGCTTGGTTTTAATTGCTCGCGTTTCCTTTTGCCGGTTTCGCGACTTTTTTTTCGTACCTCACGATTGCCGGAGAGAAAAACGGAGCGGAGGCGAGAGGGAAAAGAAATTGGCACCGCCACGTGTCTTTCCGTCTCGATTTTTATTCCCCTTCGGCTATCGACCGCCGGAACTCCGTGTGTACGCGCGTGATTATAAAAGTTTTTCCGTATACACATAATTACCTGAAGCGCCATTTCACGCAACAGGTTTTACGTAATTTCCGCAATATCGAGCACGAAATCAAATGTGTAACGAATTGGCTTCGGGAAGTTAATCTACAGGCTCTTGTAGAAAGCTCGCGTGAGATACGATCTTATCTAGGGTTTTCTACGATAAATCTGAAATTGGAGATCAGAGAAGATAACTGGTAGTTAAGCTTGCTGGTTGAAAAATTATTGGACTAAGGAACGGAAGATTTTTTTGTCCGAGTAAGAACGCAAGGGGGCTCGCAATTTTAAGGGCAATTATTAATTTGTTGATTCCCACAGACAAATGATTATCTATCAGGCTTTTACTTATTCCTAGATGCATGGGATTTCAATATATTAATAAAGCATTGCTTTTAAATAAAACGCAAATTATTCAATAAACGCGCCACCGTGAGCTCCATTTATTACTGAAAAAATTATTAATTTACTTGTTACATTCTACTCTTGCCTTGTCTTATATTCGCAACATACATTTCTCTCTTCTTTTCTTTCTCCCTCTAATAATGTTATTTCTAACGTATTATGTAATATTAATATTATTAACGAAATTATTATACAGATAGATTTTTTATTAAGATTAATTAAAAAATTGCGTACTAGGCTAAGATGTAAGAATAAGGTACATTAATGCAATATCAATGCAAAAGAATTTAGAACAGTAATATAATTGCTTCCATTCACACATCAATTGAATCGATTGGAACAGGAAGGGTATACATGTGATAGAAATTATATGCATATTTGAGAAAAGGAAAAACCAGTTTTACAAGAAACCTGAATTTTTCAATAGGTTTAGTAATTTTTGTACTATTTTGCCCTGAAGAGATCCCTGAAAAGAAATGTTGGTTTAAATAATGTTCAAACTCAATTTAATTCAAGTTAACTCGACGATAACGTCACATGTCCCTTTTCTACCCTCGCTAGTTTAATCTAAGGAACTCGGCAACGTCGGAAAGAATTGACGAACGATTCCTTTCTTCTTTTGCAACACGAGCGACAAAGCGAAGCAACGGTCTTACGGTCTCGCGTCTTCTCTGTCTCCGTAGAAAGAGCTTCGTGATCCTGCCGATGGAGGATAGCGAGAACCGGTCGCCGGTGTTCCACCAGGAGGACAGCCTGGGCCTGGCGTCGTGGTGCGTCCAGCCGCTCTACGTGTACACGTACCGACGGCTGCTGGAGTACCGGCGGACGCGGCATCAGCGGCGCGAGGAGCCCAGCACCGTGGCGAGATGGCTGCTGGGCGCCCTGCTGTTCAACCCGAGCGTGACCATGTTCTGGAACATGCGGCGGGAGCTGGTGCGCGCCGGCAGGCTGGACCCGCGCGACGAGCTGTCGTTCACGCGGCCGGTCCTCTATCACACGCCCAAGTGCTTCGAGGCGTTCTCGTATCGCAGCTGGCTGATGCCGTACGTCCTGGACGCCGAGCGGACCGACGTCGCCGAGGCGCTCGCCAACGACGAGCTCGAGCTCGTGCAGACCTGCGCCGATCGCTACGCGAACAACTACCACGCGTGGAGCTATCGCCGCTACTTGGTCACCCTCTCCGAGTCCCGCGGTCTACGGCGGCTCAGTCTGGACAACGAATGGATGAGCACGTTCGTCTGGTGCCGGCAGCATGTGTCCGACCATAGCGCGTACTCCTATCGACAGTTCCTGCTGCGTAAGTACATCCAGGCGGTGGTCTCCTCGGGCGGCAGGGAGGCGCACGACAGCCCCGGTTATCACGTCGTCATGCACGACGGCCCGTTCCTCTACATGGGCCGCCACGAGCTCGACGACGACGAACGGACGTTGCTGGAGCGTATCAGCGAGGTCGCGCGTCTCGAGCGCGATCACGGCTACTCGACCACCGACGTCCGCAAACTCAGGTGCTACCTAATGGCGTTGTCGTACTGGACGGAGGAGTGCTCGCACAACGAGCAGTACATCAGCCTGCACGACAATCACGAGACGCTGTGGTGCCACCGCAGGTTCCTGGCGCACCTGATCGCCGTCCTCACCGCCGCGTACGCGAGACACGCCTGTTATCGCGAGGACGATTTCTGGGACGCTCGATGCCACGACGCGCCGTCGCTCGCACCGCTCCTACGCGACAGACGTTTCACCGCCGACGACGACCTGCTGATGGCGGCGCACGTGATGCTCGTCAAGTCCTTTTGCTCCATCAGCCTCGGTATTATCGAGATGGCGGTCAAGCGCCCGCAGGAAAAAGTGTTCATCGAGAGATTCTGCACGTATCTCGAGAGAATAGGCTTGCGATGATCGGGATTGGCGCGCGAGATTTTCGGCCTGACGAAGGCGCGACGAGCTGATCGAAGTTTCGCTTGTCAGGAAGTGATAAGCGCGGGGAATCGCGTGTTAATTCTCGCGCAATAATTTCATTGCAGCATAATTTCTCTTCTTCTCTCTTTCTCTCTGTTTTTGTGATTTCGTATTGTCCAAATCGCGTTAAGTCGCATTCGATGTGTATGACGGTCTTCAATGGCATACAAGGCATTTTATTTTGGAATAGCCGCAAAAATGGTTTGCTTCTTTTCTTTCTTCTAAGGCTTTCGGATACTCTTGGAATATTCTTAAGACGTTCGATTGTGTCGTTCTATCAGTTGTTTTCTAATTTTTTATTTAATTTATATATTTATATCAATATCTTTTAAAGAATTTGTTAGTCAAATCTCAAACTTCTCGGGGGATCGTTGATATGCAATTTTTATTTCTATGTTGTCTGTCGTTTCTTAGCAAAGGAAAGGCTTTCTTATTGGAGGAATATTTAAAAAATATAGATTTTATGGAGAGAGTATACTTTTTAGGAAAGGAAAGTTTTTCACAATTCTGAAATTTTCCGGTTTGGTGCTCAAAGAAATACTCTCTTCGATTCGCGAGGCGACTCATTCGCACGTAGTTAGCGCACGATTGCGATAAGCAGGATTCAATTGTAGATAGGCGAAATTGAATCGTTATCAATACTTAATTTCCGCATTGTTCGCTCGCGCAGCGAGTCCGACGAGCCATCGAGTACACCAGTGATACGTAAAAGTGAAATTTAATATAATAACGAATTATAGAGGATACGCGAGAAACGAAGAGGCGGATCCCGTCTCGCCGAGAGAGATCTCCGTCGAAGGGGGAGTGCGAAAGTTTAGTCGTGAGAACAATTATGTATACTTATAAAATATTGAACGAGGAAAAAAAATGAAGATGCTAGTTTTCTAAGACTGTGTTCTTTTTGTCGCCCCGCAGCGACAGGCTCTGCCAGTCTCTTCGCTCGTTTAATTTCTTTCACGCATCTTTGTGGGTCTGAAGGTAAAATTTGCAGCGAGTTTCCTGACACACAGTAATAAAATATCAGCTCCTCCTCCTGCTGTTCCATTCGCTTGGGTCCGAAAACAGTCTCTCCTTGTCGTCCCGTTGTTATCTCAAATTATTGTACAGTCTCAGAAAACGCTCTGAAAAAAATTACATCTCGATCGACACGATGTCGCGCCGGGTCGATTTATACAGGAAAGGTTCGACGTCGTTGCCACGATTACTATGTCACCACCGGCTGTCAGCTGCGTTCGGCTTTTTGGCACGAAGCGATAACCAAAATAAACGAACTTTTAACGCGCCGCGCCGCTCCGTTCCTCAGTCATACTCGGGCGCTCGCTGTATTCGCACAATTCGAACACGCGCGACTCGCGTTCGTTCCTCGAGGAATTTAATGGCGCTTGGTTCTTTGGCCACGAACACCGCGTGTACAGCTCTAGAATCGGAAGTTCTATAAAAGTAAAGAACATTTTAAGTAAATTTCCAGCAGATAAACGACCGACCTTCTTTTCATTGTCAATTTTTAATGTTCATCTTACATCGGTTGTCTTACACTTGTTAGAGCAGCGAATTTGAATGTCTACTTTTGTTTCAATGTTTCTGCTTCGTGTTTCTATTTTATTCGTCGGCAATTTCGAGAGAGTAATTTACGTGCTGTAGCCAAAGGATCAAAGCCTCGCGTGAGCGTGCAACCGCAGTGACGTAGTTCGGGTCTTACGAAAACAAACTCCGAGTTGACGTTCAAGTCCTTTCTTTTCTGGCACGGAGGCGCGAATTTACAATCAAGCCGGTGAGAACGGCAAGGGGACACGTGACATTTTGACGAAGATTGAGATAACGATGGATCCCTGTTCTACATAAAAATTAAAAAAAATTATTGTACAAATTTTAAGGGATCCCCTTTTCAGGACGAGATGTGCATTTCAGCACAAGACCCGCTGAAAAATTTATATCACGCTTATAAGTTTACTTTTCTCAAATGTATGATTTTGTCACGTGTACCCTTTCTATTTTAACCGGTTCAACTCGCCCGTTTAACGCCCCACACTGCGCGGGGGAAAAAGTAATTTCCCACATTTCACGCACTCGATTAATTCCGCCGAGCGTATCGCGGAGTATCGGCATTTCGTTCTTTGGCACGACACGTCGCGATAGAAATAAACCGCGGCACCAACTCGGTCCCTCAGTTGCGAGCGCACGTTCGTTATGTGCGGCCAATTACACGCTTATCAACGGCGCGCTTATCACCATCGGTACCTACGATCTCGTTGGGTTAAACGTCGCCGCGCAGGCCGCACCGTCGACGGCACCGAATATTCGCGCCTGATCGCGCGATAGCGACTCTCTCGACGTCATAAAAATCGACCGGCCTCCACGAGATCTCGCAAATTCCTAGAAGCTGACGCGCGTCGACACGTAAACTCGCGATTCGCAAACAAGCGGTTCTTCGGTGTACGCGGAAAGTGATATCCCTGGCAGTGTGACGTCGACCGCCGCGATCCACGGCTTCCCGCGAGATGCTGCTGGACCTTCTGTCAGATCGAACTCGTTTCACAACGCCTGAAGGTGTTATTTAAACGCGAACGACAGAGGCCGACTTTCGAACGTCGCAATTGGCTCGCGGCACGTCTCGATAATCGTGGGATACCTGTGAATGATCGATCCATCGGACAATATATTCAAAGTGTGTGTTGGTGATGAAAATCGGAGCTGCGCCTGGAGCAATAATTATCTTCGAGAAATGCATATTCATGGGATATTTAGCAAAGTGTTTCTCTAGAAGTCAGTTTCCTCTGTCTAGCACATTGAGTCTGTAAAAGGTATTTTGCATAAACTCAATAATAAACTCAAACATTTGCAGTTTGGAAAATATCTTGAAAGAATATTATCTTCTGTATGTTGTGGACTTTTGTCATTTTTTTCAAAGTTTCATAAAATTGTCGGGGAACTTCTTCTGAACTACAGCTCACTTCGTAGAATAACGAAGTAAAATAACACATTACGATTACAAAACTTTAATGATGGAAATAATATTAGTTTTAACAACGTCAGTGTTTTCTTGAGCATATCTGGCATTTTTAATAGTACAGAAAAATTGCGAAAAATATCACCTCAGCCAGGGTTTGAACCTGGACTTTCCTACGCTCTAGGCGGGCGTCTCACCAATTCGACCACTGAGGAATGTGGTGTTTTAAATTTAGTTTCAATTCAAATATTTAAATACAGTCCAGCTATAACATTTGAGAGTCCGATCGCGCCGATCATTCACCGAATATCCTAGCATTCCAAAAAGTCGTTCGCCAGTGATCAGATCGTCTCCGAGCGATTGATAATCCAGGCGGGGATCTCGCAAGTACGAGAAAGAAAGTTTCCTCGCGCATGGAAGACGAATAAACGGGCGGAAGGGAGGCGAGACATTTTCGCGATAGATCATTCCGTGACGCACCTGTGAATGAACGTACGAACGAGTCGACGATGCCAGCGCGTGGCGACTATCGATACCGCGAGCGGTACGCGGAATGTTCGCGTTTATAAGAGTTTCGCACGGGTGTACATTACGAAACACGAGTCGCGTGGCATTGACGACGGATCATCGCGAGGACACGCTGTCGAAAGCGGCCGCACGTGACCGGTCCCTATCACTACCATTGGCCGATCCGCGCGATAGGCGACGAGCCGGTCGATAGGCGAATTCTCGTGAATTCCTGTTCGAGGAGTGGACGCCGTTGGCCAGTGTCAACTTATCGCCAGTTTGGCCGAGTTTTGCCGTCGCGTCGTCACGCGATTAGCGCTTCCGGCTTCTCCTCTACGGTCCCCGCGGTGATTGATGAACGATCGAGATGCTGGAACCGGAAGTGGAAGCCGCGGTCATCAATCTGCGACGGGGCACGAGTTTGAGGATACCGTCCACCACCACTGTCGAAGGTAAGATGGATAATAGGGTTTGCCGAAGAGAATCGCGTGGCTTAATTTTGCCGGCGGTCCTAATCGACGACCAAGACTTGACTTATCGCATTCGCGTTCACCTAATTTTCCGTCTGTGTATTATAGATGAGATCGCAATCCGTGACTTCCAGTTTCTTTCAGCGTGTTTATAAAAGAGAAAAATTCTCATGTCATACTTTTGTACGATTGCCTTCTAAAAGTCGATCAGTGGGTTATTACTGAAAACGGTGAATAGTCACTGATTTGTACTTATAAGTATACCGCAGTTGCAGTGGTACACCTATAACTGTAAATCACTGGCTATTCACCGTTTTCAGCGATGGCTCACCGATTGATTTTTTCGAGAGTGATTTTTCAACGCTAATCTGGTCTTGCATTGTGATATCGTATTTTTCATCCTTTCCTAAATTGCTAGCTGTAATTAATATGTGACGTTGAGCAAATATTTTCGGTGACAAATATAGATTCGCGATTGTTGAAACTGATATTTAACACGCGTTGAGAAATATCATTGCAGTTGGTATCGTGTGTGAAAGGTAGTGAGGAACGAAATATTCTCTTGCTCGTATAATGTACGGTACAACGTTGCGTGTGACATCGCGATCGATACCCTTTAGGTTCCGGTACCAAAGAGTTCTTGTGCATGTATATTTGCCTTTGCTATATTAAGCGTTCCGTTGCAAAAGTAATCATAGAAATCCATTGCAATGATACATAGATAAAGCCTCTGCCGTGATACTTCAGCGCAAAATTAATAAATGAAACATTGTCAGGCTCTCCCTTTCAGTCGTAGAACGTTTCGCGATCTCTCTTGATTATATTTTTTTCTCTTTGCGTCACATTATTATTGTCCATTTCTACAATTTCTAATCGGTCGAAGAATTATTTCTTTATTACATTATGTTGAAATCGATCTCTTGGAACGCAATTCTTTTTTATCACGGATACACTTCAAATTTGTCAAAGAAATTCGACGCTTTGCGTATTAATTCCGTGCGCTGAATAATTTACATTTTATCATCTTTTTTTTGTATTAGATGCTTTTCAGCGTGCAATAAAAACGTAACAAGTCTGTGCGAAAGTGTAGGCAGCCAATAGCTCGAGAAAAATAACGCGGCGTCGCGTTTGGCAACGCAACAAAAAACGATCGACTTATTACTTCCTTCAATAGGGGAAAGGGTAAATTTCTAATACTAAGTGTAGCATTAAAATTAAATTAATTTACAAAAAACTGACGATAATGATCCCACCTAGGGAAAATCTGTGTATGTCCGATAGTAACGGCGCGCAGTACAGGGTGGGAAAAGACGGTGTTTGGATTCGCTTAGTAATTTAATGGCCACCACTTATGCCAGGTCCTAAATGGCGTTTAAGTTTCAATTTGACTTGTATCTGAAAAGGACCGAGTTAAAAATTAATTGTTGCTTATTACTTCCTCTTATGAAAAATTTCTATTCTAATTTTGCCTGTCGCTCATTTTGGACGGTACAAAGACGTGAGTTCTTCCAGAACAATGTACCTTTATCTCGGGACACAAGCTGCAGCATTAAGTAATTAGTGCCTAATCGCCGGCCTCGTTTTGACTCATCCTCCTAGCGTAGCTCGAAAGAACTCGTCGAGCGTAACATGTGCGATGTTACGCACGCCGACAGACGATCGGAGACACGTGTGACGTACGGCACGAGCAACACGTTACATTTTCTCGCGTGAGCTCGTTGTTATCACGCACATCATAAGAGTATTAATAGCGAGGAGCATAAGCATTTGGCGTCGCCGAGGGCGTGTATTTGTGATTCATGTGCTTACGTCACGGCAACTCCGCGTCTTCGGAGGAAGAGCGACTTTGTGCGCTCGGCCGTGCGTTTTTATTTAAATAGATTTGCTTAGGTATACACGCTGTTCTGTGCACCGTGCGACCCACGATAGAACGTGCGGTGCATTAACAGATTATTTTGAGAAAAGTCCGCCAACAATTGGCAACGGCCATTGGCTGCGGCATTGAGACGCGCGCGCGTTTGAAATTCGATATTAATTGGCGCCTTCAAAAACGTTCGAGACTCACGCAAGTCGCGTCGAAACGTATTATTCGGATCCCGCGTCAACCTCAGCTTCGTCTACGGCCAATATTTTCACGCCCAAGTGCTCGTTACGCTCCTTTAATCTTTGGCGAACGTCGAACGCGATTCGAAACCGCGATCGTCTGAATCAGACGCGTCCCAAGGTTTCGCAAATCCACTTTTATCGGCTTCGCCCGAAGTTTCCCCGACGGGATTTACGTTGATCGACGACGAAAGCAATTTTCCGCGGTCCCGACGGCATTCTCCCCGAAAGCCGCGTGACGCGGTCGGGATAACGACCGCGCGGCTTTCCGCCGACGCAATCTCGCGCCGCGCCGACGTTCGATTACTTTATCTTTGAACATTCGGAGTATCCGTTTTGCATTTATGTGTGTGCGTGCGTGCGTGCGGACGTGTCGCGAATTTATCCGAAATTAAATAACGGTGTTGCGACGCGACTCCGTCTGGCAGTCGTCTGATAACTTGACGTCACGTTGACCGAATTATCGTAAACAGGTCGTTCCGCGCACGAAGTCGCCGTAACCGTAAAACCGTCGACCGTCGTCTCGACCGCGGTCAAGTGTGGCCGACGACATTGGCGAGGTACAGAAATAATTCGGGATTGCACGAAACAGAGTAGTCTACCAACAATTTCAATTTGACTCATCGCCTTTGCCCTAAGATGAATTCGCTTCGGTGAAATCACGGAAAGAAAAATGTAGCCGCCGTAGCTAAATTTCAGTTGTAAAATATGGACAGCTAATATTCAGTTGCGACAGCTAAATATTTTGCTACTGTGCCTATTGTATTAAGTGCGACAGCAAACCACTTGCTGTGGTTTAGGAATTTATAATTATGGCAGCAAACTATGATTAGTTACGGCAGCGAACTTTTTTTTCAGTGAAATAGAACGATTTCGTTATTTTTTTTATATTAAAAATTAAAACGGCGAGCTTGTTGTCAACCCAACTGGCAAATTTCATTGAATTCGTTACAACGTTTCGACAAGTAACAATACAATGTTGATTGGCAGTATTGTTACTTGAAAAGGACCTGAAGTAAGGTCGAAACGTTGCAACGAATTCAATCAAATTTGCCAGTTGGTTTGACAATAAGCACACTGTTTTAATTTTTAATCATCACTGGCGAGGTGACATTTTTCTTTCGTTTTTATATTAAACCTCGTCGCAAAAGAATCGTTTCTTGCTATTTAATGACGCGTTGACTACATCGGTACTTCGGAAAATTACCCGAACATACATTTACATTACGCTGCTTACGGTAAACTTTGAATTACACGATGCCACATCTCCATATTTTATTACACGTACAATTATATTATTTTTTCATATACATATATACAGTGCGATGAAGCTAATAATGACTCATTATTTTATATATTCTAATTTGATACTAATTGCAAGCTAATTGTACGTTAACGCGTCATACGGTGGCGGTACGGAAAGTCGAGGATCGCGCGAAAGGCACATGGAAATTAATATATGTATTAATTCTGGTTTTGATTTGAATACTCAATCGGCAAATTGAGATCGCTGAATCCTACGGCTGGCGGATCGTATCTATTTGCATTGAATCGAAAATGTATATGGCGCGCATATTGCCGTTATTATCTCGATATAGGCCATTATTACCGTCGCGCGATCTTCGACCTTTATCTTTTATCTAAGCCGTCTAGGATCCGCCTATAGATAGAAAACTGCACGTTTGCCTGCATATCTTTTCGAGAAAACTGGCACTTGGGGGAAACATTTACTTTCCCACGCAAATGTTTTTTGTAAACGTTTTTCGGACGTGCATCGTGTACGGAACCAATAAAAATATTTTTTCAAATATTTTTCGAAATTCGTTAAAATTATGGCATTCGCGAAATATTATTTCAAGTGTAAATCAAAGCAAGAGTGAATCGACATTATTTATTCTTTATTTGTTATTTTTTACGCTCTTGTTTGCTTATTAATTTATCTTATTCTTGAAGGAATTTCTCAAAATGGTGTCACATAATCATTATTTTATTAGACGTGTAAATTACATAATACAATAACGATTTGAGAGAAGACAGGAGGAAAATGAACTGTAGCAAGGTGTTAAAAGATAATGTTACTTACTGATATAACTCGTAGCAGCGAGGTACGTTGACCGCGTTGAAACTCTCAAGTCACCGTCTCTTTTTTCGCTCGCCTCACTCGCAAAAACATCTCGGTTAATTACGATCGCGCGTAATAATCATCGTAATGAATTAATCGCCCGCACTTTACATGGCACTCCCTATATCAGTCGCACGCAATGCGCAGCTTGTTACTTCACTTTACCATGGAATTCCATTGAAACGCGATTGCGAAAACGATGCGAGAAAGAAACGAATGATTCGCGCGACGGAAATGTCGCAAATTTAAAAGAATCAGCACAACTAACGAACTCCCTGTATCTTAAGGTATTTCATATCCGGGAATTTTCGTGTATTAGTATTTTGCGCTCTCGAAAGCGACGAACGAATTGCGTTCAAATCGGCGAAAAATTCAAGGCTCGAGGCAAAGTATATTCTTCTTCCTCCTCCTCATGTATTAGGCTTAAAGCCTGTTTTATCCAGTTTGTTCTGGTACTTTGAGCATTCGGTTTTACTTCATCTTCGGTAGGCTGCTAAACCTTTCCGAAAGAAACCTCCAACCTGGAGGGCTCGGTGGTTGCTACTTCCCTCCGAGAGATTCCGAAAAACCCAGCGGTGTCCGTGGATTTGAACTCGGATCTTTTCATTCATTTGTTTACTAAACAGCGCATATTTCTCTACCACGCTCGCCACGCAAAGTACATTCGAATATAAAAATCTCTCGGGAATTAATATCGCCCGCGCGCATACGAATATCGCGGCAAAATAACACTTTGCGACTGTCTCTCATCCCTTCG